CTGTAATCCCAGCTACTCAGGAGGCTGAGGCAGGAGAATTGCCTGAACCCAGGAGGCGGAGGTTGCGGTGAGCCGAGATCGCGCCATTGCACTCCAGCCTGGGTAACAAGAGCGAAATTCCGTCTCAAAAAAAATGATAGCATACTCTATGTAATTTTTTGCTTTTTGTTATGCTACATACATTATAACATCTATACATATTTTATAAATAGTGAATTATACAGATTTCAGGAGTTTTTTTCACATTATAATTTCTCATGTATATTTGGATGATCTTTCCAGGTCAATCATAAAAAGTCATAGAGATTCTTAATGAGCTTATCATAGATTCTTATCCCAATGGCACATAACAAGCAGTAGATCAAAAGAAGATATGTGCACTATGAGTGACAAGAATGTCAATACAAAGTGTAAGAAATAAATATTCCTGGAGGGTGGGCAAGGTGGCTTACAACTGTTAATTTCAACAGCTTTGGGAGGCTGAGGTCAGAGAATCTCTTGAGCCCAAGATTTTGAGAACAGCCTGGGAAACATAGGGAGACCCCATCTCTACAAAAAAATTTAAAAATCGGCCAGATGTGGTGATGCATGCCTGTGATTCCAGCTGCTTGAGAGACTAAGGTGGGAGAATTGCTTGAGCCCGGGAGTTTGAGGCTACAGTGAGCCATGATTGTGCCATTGCACTCTAGCCTGGACCCTGTCTCAAAAGAAAAATAAAAAATGCTATTGTAATTAAGATCATAGCACAAATGGTAAAATAAGTGAGAACTAGGAAAACCGTTCTTTGAGTTGTGATAGTCTCAGTACTATGTGGTGATTCAGAAAGTGTTAAAAGTTTTATTGGCCACTCTTCCTTACCTGAGAAATAAAGGATGAAAAGAATAAGTGTTCTTCTAAGCTGGATACAGTAGCATAGGCCTGTAGTGTCAGCTGTTGGGGAGGCTGAGGCGAGAGGTTCACCTGAGCCCAGGGGCTCAAGGTCAGCATGGGCAAAATAGTGAGACCCTTTTTCTTTAAAAAAAAAAAAAAAAGCCTCAATTAAAAAAAGAAGTGTTCTTCTAGTCCTTTTTATCCATAAGAAGTGGCATAGAAGTCCCTTTCTCCCTTTATGTGAACCAAGACATAAAAGGTGGATGGGATAGTGCCCATCTTCATGTTTGTTCACCAATCATATACAGTTTTTTAAAAAGAGCATAAAATCAAAGAAAGGTCCCAGAGGGTGGAAACTGTGCTATTATGTCATATACACTGCTGAATCCTTAGAGTTTATCACAACGTTTATTATTGTATTTGTTTAATAAATAATTGACTGAAGTGGATAAAACAAAGCCGAGAATTAATGGCCAGTTGGAAAACTAAACCCATCTCTGATATGATGTATTGGTGAAAAAACATGATTTTATATGTGACATTTAAGGAATTGTATTTACTGAATGAAATCAAGTATATTTATCTGCATTTTGTTTATATTTCAGAGATGTTTAGGTCAATGTAAACAGTGCTATTCAATAAGATGGTGTATTTTTAGTAGAAATCATTAATGTTGGAGTTTTCTGTTAACCCAAGTCATTAAACAATCTGTGTTACTGGTATACCTTGACTTTTGCCCTATTTCTTTGAGTGTGGTCCTGTTTTCTGTTTAGCAGCTGCTTTTTAGTAAGCCTTAAAGTACCTTTAATTTAGTCATGCTTCTGATGTATGTTTTTAAAAGTGGACTGTAATGTTTATATTTTGTAGAAAATGGCTCTCTCTACATAGTGATGGATTACTGTGAGGGAGGGGATCTGTTTAAGCGAATAAATGCTCAGAAAGGTGTTTTGTTTCAAGAGGATCAGGTAAGTTTGCATGTGGGAAATTGACTCTTACTGTATTATGGAGAAGTAGTTCAAAATTTGTTTATGTGTGTATTTTAACTGTAAATGCTAACTATAATTACTAGGGCAGTTCGGTGTTATATCAATATTTTAATCATTTTTCCCTCTAATTAGCTGCCACCTTTGTTCAGTTGCCCATCAAATTTGCAGACTGTAATGAGATATTGTTATCTGTGTGATGTATGTTATATATAACATGTGTCTATATGCCTTAATTATTCATTATAACTGGTTAATCTATATCATGTCAATCTGGCTTACTGCTGCCAGACTATATATTCCTAAAACGTGGCTTTGCCAGGTAACTCCAGCTCTAGAATCCTTGCATTGGCAACTGTATGAAATCTAATCTCTCTTTTGGTTTGTCAGATCTCTAGAATATGGCTCTACCCTACCTAAGCAGCCTTATTTTTTTCTATTTCCTAATCTGTACCTCTTTTCATTCACTTTAACAGATGTTTATTGAACGTGTACTTTGTGTTAGGCACTGGGCCACATGTTTATACATTTCATTCTCCTTCCCGTGTATTTACTCTGATTATTTCATTTATTTTGGCAAGCCTTTTCCTCAGACTTTGTGTTATTAATACTCTACCTTTTTTTAAAGCTCAGTTCAAGTCCCAGCTTCTTTAAATTTTCCATAACTACTCTAATCAGTTTCCTTCTCTACACGCCTATCACATTTCTCATCATTGGTTCTTTATTTGAATTGCCTGCTTTTACATAGGGGATTAGAGGGAGCACCTTGCTGGGAGTGTTGTATTTGTTATCTCTTCTAATTTGGATACATTGTTTCAATTTATAAGGAGTCCAAGGGAGGTTACATGACTTGCCCCAAATCACACTGTGTTTGAACCCACCTCTAACTCTAAAGTTTCTAACATTTTCTTTACACACATTTAAATTATAAAAGTATTGAAGTATACAGAAATGGAAAGGCTTTCTCCACCCTTTTGTTCCTGAGATTACCACTGTTTTTAGTTTGGTATATTCTTCCAGACTTTCTTTTCCATACTTGTACATATATATGTGCATTAAGACACACACATTCAGAAATGGAATGTTATTACTGTTTTTAAGATAGGCTCTTGCTCTGTCACCCGAGCTGGAGTGCAGTGGCACCATCACAGCTCATTGCTGCCTTGTGCCCCTGAGCACAAGCAATTCTCCTACCTCACCCTCCTGAGTAGCCCAGCTAATTTCTTTTTTAATTTTTTATTATTATTATTTTGTAGAGATGAGGTCTTGCTATATCGCCCAGGCTGTTCTCAAACTCCTGGCTTCAAGCAATCTTCCTACTTTGGCCTCTTAAAGTGCTGGGATTATAGGTATGAGCCACTGTGCCATTTCTGAATTCTGAGATTTAAGATCGAATATCATTTTAAGTATATAAAAGCATAAATTGAGAATTAGATACAGCTTAAGAAAAAAAAGGGATTCCTCATCTATTCATTAAATTTTCAACATTAAAGATAATACCAATCATATTCCAAACAACCACAATTAAATCTCATTTAATTCAGTTTATTCATTCCTAGTAATTCTTATTCTTGACCTTGGGTCAAGCGGTTAGCTCTCATGATGTTTGTCAGCTGATGGACTAAAAAAGTCTTAAAGAAATCCTGACTTAGTTCATTGATAAGTTCCTTGATCATCTAAGCAATGTTAGGTCAGAAACTTGTACCCAAGAGTCTGTGTTCTGAAGTACCAGTAGTTCAGCATTCCTGGTATGGTCCTTTTCAGGAGCTTTCTGGCAAGCATCAAGCAGCAAAGGCCTATTTGATAATGAGACTGAAAGGCTGTGGTTAGTTTATTATAGTAACCAATAATAGAATAAAATTTTCATCAGGGTAGAGTACATAGATTTGATAAGGGCTTGATAAGTGATTTTATTGAGGTTAAAAATGGAGAGCAAAGTTACGGGCAAATCTCCGGGGTGTTCTCATAAAGCATGCATTTTATGAAATACAGCATTTTACCTATGCAGACTTATCCTAGGAAAGACTAAGCATCTTTTTAAATTTGGCAAGTCTTCCCAGGCAGGTCCTATGGCAATGTTGAGCTAATAGTTA